GGAGAGGAGGGAGAGAAACAGACAGAAACAGAGACAGAGAACAAAGAGAAAGACACATACAGAGAGACAGAGAAAAGAGGAAGGGGTAGAGATGACAGACAGACGGAGCGAGAGACAGAGAAAGCACTTAGAATGTGCAGAACAAGGCATTCGAGAAAAAAAAGAAATATATAGAGAATGCGTCCTAATAGCTGTCAACCATTGCTATGACATGTTTGGAAATAGAAATGTATACGATCTTAAGAATTGACTGTAAAGACAAGCTAGTTCTTTGATTAAAAATAATTGAAGGGTTCAGGAAAATAACTGATCAAAGACACCTTGAATAAAACAAATAATTTTGAGGGCAAAAATTAACCAAAAAGAGCACCCCACCCACCTTTAACCCCCCCCAAAAAAAAATAAAAAAATAAACATAAAACAACAACAACAATCAAACCCTTATCTCCCAAAAAAATATTTAAGGCTAAAAGTGACTTGGACCATAATTTTTCTGATTCCTTCAATTGTACAGTTATTATAGACCGCCCTGGTCTTTCGACCAAGACACTGGCATGTGACAAAATAAGGGGGGAAAAACGAAACAAAAACCAAAACAAGGCAACCTCCCCCCTCCCCCCAAAAATCAAACAACAAAAAACAAAACAAACAACAACAAACAAACAACAAAACAAACAGCATGGCAACAACAATAATAAAAAACAAACCAAAGCAAGAAGAAACCGTTCTTGAATCATATCTACCAAGATGAAGAAACCCTGGCTTAAAACTCTAACCGCAGGCGGTCTTGAACTTGCATTGTAAGGAGAGTTCTTCATCGCTGTCGATTCACGTGGCTCAGTCATATCGGAAAAGGACGTTGAATCGGAAGACCCACTTCTTATACACAGTGCGCATTGCCAGTCGGATTCATGTGATTGAGAGCGGGTCAGCTCGGCTAAATTTTCCTTCATTAATGGGGCAAAAGCTACCATAATTGTGGTACAATACGACCGAATTCAACTAAATTCGACTGTGATCTTTTGCGTCAAAAAGTACGTTTGTTTCTCAAGGCCCAGGTCGACTCGCTCGTATTAAAATGTCATACAGGTAGGTTTTGTCTCTCCAAGAACGAAAATCTGGCTTGCCTCCGAACTCATTCAGGCGATTCCGATTGGCAGTCTGCACTACGAATTTTAAAACATTCTGCCTGGTTCTTATCTCCATTTTCGACCCGAGACATAGAGGATGTGTCAAAGCAACGAGACCCCCTTGATCGTCTCCTGTGACTTGCATGAGCTTGAAAGGGCCGTATTGACCGCTGGCTCTCGTATTTGGTGAACTGTCATGGCGATGCATTCCCTAAGTGTCCGTCTCTGTCCTTGAGATGACTGAAAAAGAAGAAACCTCTTTAATTAAAACACTGTATATTATGTTTTAGATGGCATGAATGACTTACTACCTTAATTAACCCATGTCCTCCTAATGAACTCCCCTCTGTATTCACGCAAAAAACTTTTCCCATGCAAACGAGAATGTATTTTCATTTCAACAAAGCATTTTATACTTTTCCCTACTAATAAAGATTGCATAGTTCTACTCAACCAAGTTTTCATATTTAAAACAAAACATTACATACTTTCACTGCACTCAACAAAGCGGGTGGTAAGCGGGTGCTCAGGTGTGGCTTGCTCCTTCTTTCCTATCAAACATCCAGTATCCTTATCTCTGCTCCTTTTTGTGTTTGTTACTCTCTTGTTACACTTCTAATCTTCGGCACCTGTATGACCTTATTGTACTGCTAGTGCCGTAAGTCTCTTACTAGAACTAAAACAACACTCAACAAATTCTACACACTTTCGCTCTATAAACCATGGTTATTTATGCATCGAGGTGAAAACATGTCCCTGCAAAAATAATGAAATTGAAGAAACCGACATTTTCCGACTGTTGGTTATATCTGAATAGACTCACAAACGTCTACCGGCGACAGGTGAAACGGTTAGACGCGTCACTGTCCGTAACAGGAGTCCCGAGTTCGATTCTCCAGTGGGGAGAATTTGTATCTGGTATCTCGGTCTTTCTGCTGAGATATTGTATCCCTTTCCGCCTAGGTTGGAGCTCGCCTCCGAAATGATCTATAATTGTGTCGACTTTTACAGGAAGTTTAGGCGGAGGGAGGGAGAGAGAGAGAGACAGAGAGAGAGTGAATCAGAGAGGTTATAATAGATAAAAGAGAGAGAGATGTGAGAGGGGGGGGGGGGGGTAAAATCACTTACATTTTGAACAACAAAGTTTCCAAACTTGACTAATCTGTACAATATAAAAATAAAGTTGTTCCCGCGTTCGATCCGGAAATTGGGGATTGCCTTGTTAGTGATCCAACTTCCTGGGCCTCCGGCATATTGTGGTAGGGTGGCCAGCTCCTTTCCATGCTGCCTTTACTTCCCCAACTCGAAGTCAGGTACTCATTACTGCTGAGTGGGCATGCAGCGGCGAAAAAATCCGTGTCCGAACCGAG